TAAATGCTGTAACTCATCGAGGTTGTTAAGCATTTTAAGAATTGTGGGTTTAGCATTTCTATATGCAACTTTGAGAGGTTGTACTGAGCATAAGGACACAGAAGCCACTTGAAGCTGTGGCAGAACTTTGTTTGCTCACTGATTCAAACTTTCTAGTTTTTATTATTCTCTTACAAACCAAGGAATTATGACATTTGCTTGAAAAATAGAGACTGTTTGTGGATCTCCTTAGATAAATCAGGGGAACAAAGATGGAAATAAGGACTCAAGGGACAGGAGTTTTCCAGGTAAATTGACACAGAAAATTGCAGGTTTCATTCACTACTCAGGGCTTAAACACAGATGATTGTAGTTGTGTTTGGCTGAATTAAATGAGGTTTATATCATCAACAAGTCTACATATTAAATGATGTTTATGTTGAATGGAATTAATTAAATGCAAGAAATTAGCTCTTCTAACTACATGGATACAATCTCAGTGCTGTGATAGAAGTTTGTGTGCAACAGAAAGAGAAACAACTTCTAAAGTTCTGTTTCCATTCAGACAATGAGTCTTTAAAATAGCTAGCCATAGAAATTAGCATTTTGGCTGTGTATTTTCAGTATTCTCCTTCCATCCTCATTGTGAAAGCTACTGTGGGTTACTGGATTCAGTTACTGTTGGGCAGCCAGGATAGTTCTGTCTCAGTGACAAACTGTTAAAGCGGGGCGAAGAACAAAGAATTAGGCAGTGGGACAGAGCAAGTCGAAAAACTCAACTATGGCAAAACACTGAAGATCTTTAGTGGGTCACAAATTAGATATCACTGATCTTTTTCTTGTTTTTACTGTCTGTGGGAAGAGAGGAAGTTAAGAGTAAGTTTCGTGAGAATACAGGCTGAAGAGCACAATACAAATATTTAAGTAGTGGTTTTAAGGGTGGGATGAGCTTTGGTGCTTTGTTGTGGGTTTTTTTTCCTTAAGAAGGGTGGGATGAGCTTTGGTGCTTTGTGGGTTTTTTTTCCTTGAAATACATTAGATGATTTTTAATGCTACGCTTTAATATTAGAGGTAGGAAGATCCAGGGGTTTGCAGCTCATTTTACTGCAGGATCTTGCTATGCTCAGGAAAGTATGATGGAAGCTAATATCAGTTATAGGGAATATTGCAGAAAGTGTGACTGTGCATTAGCTTTGTAGCTACTGTTATAAGTAATGTTACAGCTAGGGTTAGGACTAAGGAACTGAGAAAAGCAGCTGGATGAACAGAAATTAGTGCAGGATGTCTCAAAGTCTGAACAATTCAGGTTGCGAAACAAAAAGAACAGAAGTCAAAAATTATTTGTCTTGGAATAGCTGTGGTACATAGGAAGATTAGGGTACTTGTTAGATTTTGTGGTTTATGTGTGTTGGAAGACAGCACCTATGGAAAAAAAAACATGCTTCTTATGTTTAACCAATCTCAGGTTCCGAGCTCTGTGAGTGAGGTCTAGGATAGACCTTCTTTGAATCCAGCTATGCCAATGGATTAGGTTGTTTCTCAGAACCATTTTAATGGCCATGCAGTAGGTTCCTTCCTTTGCTAGCAGTGTGCAGCATATGTGGCCTTTCCTGACAGAACTCGACCAGGGAGTGCTCCCATAAGCTCCTGTGTCACCAGTTAGATGAGAGAAGCAACTTGTAGCAAGCACTGGAAGACAGAATCTCCTAATGGCAAAGCAGGACTCTTGAGGCGACAGCTATCCTCTGCCTTGAGTTGGAGAGGAAATTGTGTTTCTTGCTGCTATCAGTTTAAATTTACAAGGCAAAACTGAGAAGTTTGGCTAGCTTAAAACCTGTCTTGCTGTCTCCTTTGCCTTTCTATTTTCTAAAGCGCATCAGAAGGGATCTTTCTTTCCCTGTATTTGTCTCCACAAAGTTTCTATAAAGGTATAACAGAACTCTGTCTAATTGCCTCCTGTAAAATTAGAGAGCTGAGTTTTACCATTTGGGATACAGCTGCTTCTCAGCAGCATCAGAAATAACAGCTGTGAAAATACTCTGCAGGGAGAAAGCATGACATGAAACAAACATTTATTATAAAAGACTGTACAGACAAATTAAACAGATGTCACACTGTTGCTCCTCCTAGGCACAGGAGTAGTAAAATACTTAAAACATAGAAGCCAGTGAAAATGACAGATATTGCTAAAATACCTAAATTCCAACTGAAAACCTATGCTAGAGGAATTAGAATACTGTAAAATAAACAAATAAAGCACTTTCAATAAAAGTGCTAGTGAAGTCTCAAGTCCTTGAGTAGTATGCTGTTTGGAGTAACACATCAATGTCTGTTCTCTCAAGTTTTGGTTCTGTACCTTGAAGCCACTGCCAGGTTCAGTTAGGGTCCTGTTTAGAAACCTAAAGTTGAATTCAGGAAGTGCAAGTATTAAAATTTGCCTTACATTTCTCTATAGTTAATGAGGTCCTTGGCACTAAAGTTTGGACAACTGATGTACCTCAGCTTGGGTATGGAAGTTTCTATAGCAAAGCACTAGACACAGCAGTGTTCACATCCTTTTACCATGAACTCAAGGTGGTTAGAGTGTGAAAGGCGTGTATATTTTGGTTTTGGTTTTTTTCACTGTTGTGTTGCAGAACAGGACTATCCTTTGAGGCAACTGAAGAACCAGGAAAAGATCCTGGAAACCATCTATAGCAGGAGAATCCAGTTGTTTTGTTGTCACTTGAATACCCATTTAAAAAGGAAATGACAAAGACAGGGTTAAACCAGACTTCAGTAATATACAAGTCTTGTAAGCTTTGAGGAGGGTCTCATTGTGGCTATTAAGAGAATTTAACCCAAATAACAATAAATTTAAGCCAAGTGAAGAAGTATCCACAAAGACCTTAGGGACAAAGAAAGAGGCCGTTGTTGCTCCATGGAGCAAAAATGCAGTAGGCCTGTGGTAAGAACTGTACTTCAGACACTTCCTCCTCTGTCTAAAGATCCAGAAATCAGTATTTCAGAATTACTAGTCTAGTCTCTTGAGAAAGTTGCCTGGGAGCAAAGAGCCTAGGGCTGGCACGAGAAGAGCTCTTCAGCTGAACTCCTGTA